TTCATACACTGATGTATTGAAATAGAGAAGTGTTTTTGATAAATAAGGTAGACTATAGAGTTAAAGAATGTGTATATGTGATTGTATACATATATGTACATATACATAAAATATTTGTGAAATACAGTTTTTCTGTGGTATTCTGGATGATTTTTATTTATGTTTATGCTTTATTTTTTTCTGCAGTGGGCCTATTTTACTTCGACAGTTTTTTTGGTAGCAAAACAAGTGACTCATGTTGTAATACATGTATTCAAAAATTATAAATAATTGATATAAATGATCTTCCTAATTTCTCCCACTAAAAGCACATGCCTGTGTGCACACATGTGCCCATACACATACACGTGCACACACACACATGCACGCATATGTAGATCCCAAAATTTGGGGAAAGAGGAGATTCCAGACTGTCACAGTAGATGTCTGCAAACCTAGAGGAGAAGTTACTGGAGCCATAAAGTGGCCTGGACATGCGCGGTGTTTGTCGCAGGAGGCTGGGAGAGACCTGGAGAGGCTGCAGTCTTCCTGGTCTTTCCCTCCATAGCTTTTTCTAATGTTAGAAATTATTGGCAGAGCTGATGAAAGTAATTATTTATGCCTTTTTCCTGTTGTAAGTGCTCTTTGACAGTAGTAACGTTGCTAGTGGGGCTGTGGTGGCTGCCATCCAGGCTAATGGACCAGTTATCCTCCTCGCTCGCTTCTCTCATGATCTGTTTGTTTACCTAAATATCCTGGGCTTCAATTAAAAATCTGTCCTATAGTTTTTCTCTCCAAGCGTGTCTATAAGGTGATTTGTTTTTTCTTGCAGTTTTCAAGCCCCAGAAATTCAAGGAGATACTTTTTTTTTTTTGTCCTTTCCACTTAATTAATATCGGTATATCTAGGGATGAGAATTAGCCATTTATTTGGTTCACTAAATAGTGATACCCACATCTGGAGTTCCCAAGAACTAGCTAGGGATGTCAGAACTGACCTCAGGCGAAAGTTGTGGCCAAAAGGAGACCATGTTTTATGAAGTTAGTTTTTCTTTTTTTCCTGGCAAAGCCAGATGTGGAAGATTCAAAACTAGTATTCTCATTGCTAACTTTGTCCACACATGGAGATTTCCAAATATTCCCCAAATATCTTTCTCTTCTAGGAGTTATGGTTTACCAGTTGTTCCTGAGCCTGCTGGATGTACACCAGAATTACCTGGGGAGATTATTAAAAATACAGATTCTTGGGCCCCACCCCTGGAGATTGTGAATCAGTAAGTAGATCTGGGGTAGGGCCTGGGAATTTGTATTTTTAAACAAGTAGACTTCAGGTGATTCTGATGCTACTAGACTGCTGTTTGGGGATTACTGTCTTACTAAAAAGAAATATGGTGGATTGGCATGGCCTTTGTAAATTGTTTGTATAGTGGGAGAGCATTTTTAATAATAAACCTTTTTTATTCCCTTTTGAAGTCGCTCCCCAAGCAGGGAGAAGAAGAGAGCTCGTTGGGAGGAGGAAAAAGACCGATGGAGTGATAGCCAGGGCTCGGGCAAAGAGAAGAACTATACTTCAATCAAGGAAAAAGAGCCAGAGGAAACACTGCCTGACAAAAATGAGGAGGAAGATGAGGAGCTTCTTAAACCCGTGTGGATTCGCTGTACCCATTCCGAGAATTACTACTCCAGCGACCCCATGGATCAGGTGGTAGGTCTGGGGCGGGAGAGGAGCTGGATCCCAGGGTCTCGCCATCTGGCACAAGCAGCACTTTGTGCCAGAGGATTCTCTGTTGGCGCTGCCCTGTGACTGGAGGATGTCGAGCAGTACCTCTGGGCTATCCCTGGTAGGCGCCAGTGGGCCCTCTCCTGTGGGGACAACCAAGTGTCTGCACACATTGATACGTGTTCCCTGGAGGGAATCTCCCCTGTTGAAAATTGCTGTGCTAAAAAGCCACAGGCCAAGCGTGCAGGAGGTTGTATAAGATCTGTTCTGCATTTTTTATGACACAGATAGTCTTGATAGTTTCATAAGCTGTTGCCTGTAACTAGTTTATCCAATATGTGGTGCACACGTAGTGTGTCTGTGTTTTTCTCCCAAATCGGGAAATAAGGAGGAACTTGAGTTCATCATGTTAAGCATGTTTCTGATCAGTCAGTTACCCATGTGGGAAGTTGCCCATCTCGTTGGCTGATCTGACACAGTGCCGCTGTCCCCTCTTTTGGGGTGTGGAGGACTTGGAGCACCTGCTGCTGGGATGGGGCCAGCGGAGCTGTGCAACTGACGCTGCTCTTGCTCAGTGCCCCCCACAAGCCCCCTCCACATTCCTGCTTCCCTTTCGTCTTCATTTTATGTTTTGTCATTTTTCCTTTCTCTATCTCTTCCTTTTTTCCTTGTAGGTATTAATCTGCATCCCATTGATATGAGGCTATTTGTCACAGAGTAGACAAATGTTTACTGAAGCACTGAATGAATGAAGGGATGACTGTACAGAATTGGGGCATAAGAAGTTGGAGAGGTTGGATTTAGTGCATGAGGGTAGCTAAGAGCGGGCTATCATGTTCAGAACTTCCTGAAAATACACAAGCACTGGAGTTACAGCTCAATTGCCCATTATACATTGAAAATATTGTAGTTCCTACATACATTAATATACCTAACTACCAGGCATCTTAATTGCGTCTACTCCACTTTAAATGTATTTAGAACGCTTATGTTCTGTAGTCCTTAGGCAAAATGCTCCAACACAAGCCTATTTTGCAATAAAGTGTTGAATATCTCATTGAAGTTATCAAGCGCATGTATCCACTAAGCATGGCCACACAGTGGCGGGGGCTCGACCCTGTGCCATGGCACGGCTGGCTGCAGCTGCAGCCTGCTGCTGCTTGAGCAGGAGAGTGTTGTGTGCATGCTGCTGACTTGGGAAAGGATCAGAATCCAAAATGTGAAGTACTGTTTGTACTGTGCATAGTGCTGTGTTACGGTCAGAAAGTGGAAAACTCCCAGGTCCAGAAAGGTCAGTAGTTCTGTTCAGATCCCTGTCTGTAGGGAGCATCAAAGCAGGTGTCTTTGCCTTTGGATCTGAGAAACCTGTGGTATTGTTTGTGGTAAGTTAGAGCAGGCGTTGAGCAGTGCAGTGCGGTCTGTGGCTTCGGTGAGGACGAAGCTGTGTGCAGAGCACGTCCTGGTGCTGGAACTTCACTGCGTGCGTCTCATGCGACAGTGGTTCCTCCTGGAATTCCTTGGCGAGGTGCTGTCAGCTAGGGATGCTGCTGGCACCAACAGTGCCTGAGCAAAGGAGCCAGTGTGTGTTTTATGAATATGTGTATTATGTATGTATGTATGTAT